AGTTTAGTGATATCACTTCCTTGCTAGCAGTTAGTGTCACAGAGACGTGATCCTTTCATCCTTCATTGGTATGTGTTTAGCAGCCACTTGATGCCTAGCAAGTTGAGTGATGTTCTACTGACGAGTTGATCTTTAATTTCATTTATAAATAATTTTTTGCATTGAAATGTTAAGCAATTGTGTGACAAGTTACTTTTATGTTAATATATGAATATTAAGAATGTTGAGCCATGGAATGGCGATTTATTTTCATGAGATTATGTGAATACTATGAATGATGGTCTGTGAGCCTATATGAGCATCTGGGATGCCTTTACAAATTTTATGTTAGAGGTACTGGGTAAATATTTTATGAATGAAGTGCGTACACCTTTTATGTTGAGAAGTCCATAATTGTGTATTTACGCCCTTGCATGGATGCTTATATTTACATTTTATCTATGCTTATATGTGATTGATGATTGATTAAAGTTAAGAGGCTTGCTTGGGCTTAACGAACCATACTCTTTAAGGCCCATGCACTGGTCACGATCCTTCTAGGAAATGGGATATGACGAGTTATACCTTAACCAAACTAAAAGGTTGAGGGGTTGAGTATGATACCTTAAAAGACTATTGTAAAGGTTAAGTCCGAGCCTTGAAAAGCTTTTGAGCTTGAAAACCTTTTTATAAAATATGAAATGGAAGGTTTAAAACTTGTTAAGGTTAAAAGGCATCAAGTAAGGAAAAAGGTTGAGAGAAATGAAAAAAACAAAAATATTTATAGTGGTTCGGTCCCCTTAACCTACATCCACTACCTTCTTGTCCCAATCAATGATTTGCAACCCAACTTCTGTAAACCAATGGAATTGATAGCTTCCACCAAGCTTTTATAAGGTGAGCTTTTAACCTAAGCTCTAATTCTTTACAATAAATCTTAAAGTGCTTCGCACACTCAATCAACCAAGAACTAAGAAGAAAAAGAGGTACAAGTGATCACCTTACTAATCTAAGATGTATAAAATCTAGCTCAAAACACTTAAACAGAATAAGGATGTGAAAGGCAAGTGTGTAAGAGAAAGTTCTTTTGTTTTCTTTCTCAAAATGTGGTCTTGGTTACTTGTCTCTTCTATCTTTAATCGTTAGAGGAACTTTTAATGATTAAGGTTAACATGCTTCAAATACCAAACACCAAGCAACCAAAATGCAACTTTGACCTCTCTTGCAAATACCACAAGGGAATGGTGGGCATTCCATTTAGAATTATGAGGAATTTCGTAGTGAATTGTAGAAAATTATGGATGCATCCTTGAATGAATCCAATGATGAACATGATGAGAAATTAATGGATGCTTTATCTAAAGTTTTTGTGAACACGATGGGTGAAAACAACCAAAGAATGATAACGAATAGCTATTGGTATACCTAGGACTTCTTAACTTGAAGTTGAACAATGAGAAGGTCATGGAGTTTCTTGTCAGTACTTTTGAGCCCCTCACAAAATAATAAATTGAAATCTGTAATGCTTAAACTTTAGAACTTTGAGAAAGTTTGTTTATGGGCTTTTATTCAACAAGGTCTAAATAAAAATGGCACATATGATGCATTTTCATTGTTCTTCTTGTGTTCATTGTCTTTTCTTTGTTTCCATATATCTCTTTTGTTTAAATTTTTATTTTTTTTTGTTTCCATATATCTTTTCAATTTAAATTTTCTTACCCTTGTATTCTTTAATTTTACCTATTTTGAAGGTTCTAAGTAATGAATATAAGGATAGTAATGAAAACAATTTTGAATTTGATTTTGATTTTGAAAGAGATACTTGTGTTGATGACCTTGACAATGAAGAGAATATTGATGATTATCCTTTGTCCCCCAACTTATTGAGATTGGACAAACAAGAACAAAAATGGATAAAACCTTATCCTGATTTAGGAGATATAGATAATGAAATAAAAGAAAAGAAAAACCTAAAAACAATGAAGAAATCATTCTTTAGAGTTTTCTTTTCAATGTAAGCAACCATGTTTGAGATAAGAAATGGCTATCTTTTATTTTTCCTTCATAAATGAGACATTATCCATATGTTACCCTTTTGAGCCAATTGAATTTTTCTAAATGAACCTTAACCAAGGATCACCCCTTTACATCAAGAGAATTACAAAGGAAGACCTCTTTCAAAAGTATGAATTCAATCTCACTTCAAGGACAAAGAAAGAATACCCATGCTCAGGGGCAAATGTTAAATAATTTGAGTTCTAAGAAAAAAAGGAAACAAAGAAAAGAAACTCTTAAACTCAACCCATTAAAGTGGGAAATGTGACCAAAAAGGAAAAAAGAAGAATGAAAAGAAACAAGATGATGGAAGAGCATACTAGAGGGAGATTTGACAACAATTTTACGTAGAATACACTAAAAACGAGGTAAGGGGGAAGTTATGGAGGCTAGTGTTGAAGGGCGAACAGCACGACTATGTGAAGCATTTTTTTTATTTAGTATTGCAAGTAAGGAACTTAGGCTAGCAAGAAGCCTTGCTTACATTCATTGATGGATTGAAGCCATGAGCAAAGTAAATGCTCCAATATAAAGATATGCAAGGCTTCATGTGTGCCATAGAGTTGATTGAGGGTTGGATTGAGTTCTACTCCTCTCAAGCCAAGGAGATGGTTAGTGGTGGGGGAGAGAATGATAGTGGGTTAAAGGAAAAGGCTAAAGAAAAGTAGGCATTCCACTAGGCCAAGGTAGTCACCAAAGGTAACCAAAGGTAGAAGAAGCCCTTAAGTTGTTTCTTATGTGAGGGACCGTACTAGAGGAGAGACTACCTCATGCATAACAAGTTCATCGCTATCTTGTTAGATAAAGAGGATCCAAGCTACAAGGGTGCAAACTGGTATGGAGCGCAACATAGGAAAAGGTTATAGTTGAGAAGTGTAGTGTTGCACAAGGAAAATGAGACTTACTAAGCAACGTAGATAGTTTGAGAAGAAGGTTACTACAATGGCTATAGTCCTCCATGTGCGACTAAGGAAAACTGAGAGCGCATTATAATTAGGCAACATTATGTTACACCAAAAGGGGCAATAGCAAACAACAAAGGAGTATCATAAGGTTTGAGAAAGACCAAGTTTAATGGTGACAAAATTCCTACAATCGAAGGCATAGAGGTGGAATTGCCGACATCAGTCAAGCACTAGAAAGGCTAAGGGGTCAAGGCAATGCTTGATTGGTCTATAGTAAATGCCCAAGGAGTCAAGGCATAAGAGGGAAGTGTGTGTAAGGCAAGTGTGCAATGGCAATGATACTAAAGAAATAAGCATGCAAAGGGACAACTTGCTACATGTGAGGCAACAATGCATGAAAGTAGTGCATAAGGCGAGGCCCACAAGTGCATAGAGCAAGATAGTCTAAGGCAAAGGCATGCCCAAGGATGACATGTTACGCAATAGTGGATGACACAAAGACATCCATCTTTTACTAATGAGGGCATTGTTGGATTGAGTGGGGGAGGATGTCATGGCCCAAGTCGTTAATAATTAGGCAAGTTAACAACCCAGATAGGCATGCGGCTTAGGCAAGCTAGCCAACTCGCCCAATATATAAAAGGCTCATCTCATTTGCACATCAAGGGGTAAAAGTGTCATTAGAACTTTTCCAAAGGGTCGATAAACTGATATATGTTAAATTTAAATGTTGATAAGGTGATCATTCAAATTTGAATGATGTATTCAAATTTGAATGCCCTAACCATTTATTTTAAATTTGAATTGTAGGTAAGCTAGATAAAAGGGCTAGTTATACATATAAATGCTCCCTCTACACTCACTAGTAAACACACCAAGTTTGAAAACAAAACCTCATTTTTCTCAAACCTTCCTTTATTCTTTCTCTTTTTTTTGCTACTTATTGTGTTACTTTAAGAACCTCGAGCTCTTGAGTGATTTTATGGATACTTAAGCTCGTTTTAGGAAAAAGGGCTTTGGTCGCACTTCAGGTGCTTAAGTTACTCAGCCCATAACACTATGGCCAAGGCATATTGGTCAAAATTCTACTTTTGTCAAGCAAAAGCAACAAGTAAACTCTAAGGGTAAAACCAAAACACACTTGTCCTGTGCAACGTATTTTCCTCAGGATAACATATTACATGATTAAACGATGTATTTTTTTTAGAATTAAGTTGCTATATGTAGGTAGATCTTTAAAGTGTCCTTTTAATTAATTGCATATTTCATACCTAAATTATAGTTAGATTATTGATTTGACATATAAAGAAAAGAAATTCACAATTAAGTACTTCAAATTTCATGTCGTTAAGTAGGTTGCACATCTTGCTAACTTTATTAATTAAATGTTTGATGCGGTAAAAAACAGTCAATAGGAGTTAGACATGTGAGGCATTCCTATTGGATGCTTTTAGTCATTTCACCTATTTAATCAACAAAGATAGTCTCCAGTGTAAAACTATTAACCAAAATAGAATTCGAATAGTAAATTGCAAACTTTTAAACTTCAATTATCAAATCAAACATTTTATCATAATTGTGTAATTAACCTTTCTTTCTGTGAGTTGGGCGCTGGGGTCGGAGGTGGGGAGGAAGGAACGTATAGGAAGTGTTAGTAGTTAGTTTATCCCACAAGATTAATGAAGTAAACTACATTTACCCCCAAAAGTCTCGAAAGGCTTTCTAATATAAACTATTGTCTCGGTCAAGGACTAGATGCATGTCCCCAACTCCCCATCAGCAAATATTGGTCTTTCAGGGTTAGATCTTTTGCTCTTTGAAGCCAACATAGAACCACCAAAGGCTATATGATTTCTGAAACCTTCCAGGAATTGCAGTAAATATTTGATGCAGTTTTTTTTTTTCACTTTTAGCGGTTTTCCTTTCGATTCTCTTTTTCTTTTTCTTTTTTATTAACAGAAGAAGAGGAGGAAGAAACATCCGGCTACATACAATCCTCCGATTCTTATGAAGCAATTGATTTTTTAGATGTAGGAATGTGGATTTGAGCGATAAGGTTATAATCCATTGAATTAAGCTTTCTGCATGCCTTAGGTTTTGGGAAATATGCATGCTTACAAATTAATTACAAATATGATGGCTTGCTTTCTTAGGAAAATTAAGGATAACCAAACATGAACAAAAAAGAAGAAAAAGGATTAAAAAATATTGGAAAAACAAATTATGAGAACAAATATTTCAGATCCCGGATTCCTCTACTGAGTTGTTAGAGAAGATACATTGCATGTGGATGCAGAAGAAGTGGAGGAAGAGTTCTTATGGTTATGCATCCACACCTTGAAGACTTGCCTACTCACCCCAATTGCTCCACAAAACTTCTCGACCTCATCTTCTTCATCTCTCCTTTGCAGCTTCCACCCCAACTTTTCAGCAAAACCCGACATCTTCTCCTTCTGCTCCGCTGTGAATTTCGTCCGAAACCGCTTCTTCCCGCTTCTGTCTGCAGCCTCGGTTGACTCCACCACAACTGGCCGCCTTCCTCTGGTGCCACCATCTCCGTAATCAATCAGTTCTACTGTGTTTTCTGGATCCCCATGACTCCTGCTGCCGCTACAGTAGCTAACTTTGCGGTGGAAATTACGGTGGCATCCGCATGCAGCGCATTGTAGGTTTGAAGGAGAGGTATCGTCAAGTGTGAACTCACCGCAACCGTCGGTGGCGTAGCTGCCAAGGCTGGCTGCATGGTTTCTCAAGCACTCCCTGTATAGATCATTTGGATACTCTTTCTCCATCTCTCCCTCTCTCTCTCTCTCCCTCGAAGCTGCTTCTATTCGGCACTGTATATGTATATAAATATTGGAGTAGCTGGTAGGTTTGAATTACAATGAAGGCCTTGGTAGACAGGCTATTTACAAGGTCATGTCTGCCCCGTCGCTCTTTGTATTTTTAAATCTTGATTGTAATCCTGAGTCGTTTGATCGATTCAAATGATACTACTTTTTCCTATGTTAAAAAAAAATTAAGATCAATTTACGTTAATCGTTCTCCGTAGACAACCATGGAAATTGAGTTAAATCAGTCAACTCATCATATAAAAAGCCGTGGTATCTTTCCATGTCAACAGGCAACTCATGAGTAAAGCTTTACTTGTTATGTTAATGAAGTTATTTATATCATCTCAAGAGTTTAGAGCTTGCATGATTTTGTATCAAGATTGGTCATTTTTTAATATTTTTAATAATTAAAAAACTTAAATACTCAAATTAGGTTAATTAAAATTAAATTATATATGAAATCAATATAATATATTTCTCTACAATGTGAATTGCATGCATGATACATGGTATCCTCATGGAATGAAAACTTAGAGCAACTTTTCTTTTTCTTCTTTAAATAATTAATTAATTTGGGTATCGGATGTCTGATGTCTCCAACACCTTTGCCTCATTTACAATTCTTTTTTATCTTATCATTGAAATATTTTAATCAGTTGAAAGGGTGTCTTGAATCATCCAATCACCAAATGAATGTTATCATAGAACAGTGTAATATGTGGCTCAAATATTTTAATCATTTGAAAATGAGGTAAGACATGGGAGATTGTCCTGATACATGAACATTGTCTCAACATATTACAGACATTTCTCTGTCCTAGTAGGATGGATATCACCAAAAAGTCAAGAGCTTCCCTCTTTCATTTCATGCTTCAGTGTTTATAGTTAAAAATGTCAATGACTTGGGAATCCCTTAGCTGTAATATACAGCAAATATTATGGGCTTCAAGGTCCTAATGTATTGGCTGAAAGCTGTAGAGGGCCCGTGAACGGTATGGGGTTTCCCCCCAAATAATTGACGTCGGGAATGGGGGAAAAAAAATACCAAACAAACTAACAAAACAAAACAGTCGTGGGGAATTTCATGCTGGAAAATTTTACAGCTGCCAGTCTTTTTGTACGTTTGCTCTTCGATGAAAGGTATCTCATATATATCTTGTAATAGCTATGCCTAGAAAAGGAAATCAATGCGGTTGTAAAACTGTGAGCGTGTCAGCGAAATGAAAATTTGTCCTCTTTTTTCCAAACTCATGCATGAGATTAGAGAATAGAGAAGTGACTTGGGGGCTAGGATTCCTTCGATGATGGTTTGAAATGGGGATGGAGAATCGGTGTGCGCTGCTTCAGTTGATCGATGTGTAGGAGAGAAAATTGTCTTTTGGCATTTGGGAGCATTGCTTTGTTGTCTGCGATCGCTTCGCTGCACTCAGCAGTGTCTAGTCACTAGTCACTGTTATGTTATGTGTGACCTGATCAGGCAGAGGCCCGAGGCTCGCGGTCACATGCTAAAGCAATGCATGGGGCCCTCGGACTTGGATAAAGCAAAAGCAGAAGAAAATGGTCTATGAACCAATAAAACGAAAGCATTTATTGGAAACATTTATCTTATAACAACTCAGTTTATATATGTGCATAATTGCCTCAATATTTGGTTTTATCCATCCACATATATTTCATTAGCTATCATTTATTGACTTTAATTATAACCGCTAATTTATGCTTTGTGGAGTTTCTGGAAGACACTGGACAAATATATACACAAATTTTATTTTAGTTTTTCTTAACTATTTAAGCAAAGTGGTCACTTGTAACGAAGTACTTTGTTTGAGCCAAAAAGTCTCTTCGTTAGAAAAAGGAAGTCATACTCGTATGTGAATTTTTCTTCTTTTGACATATATGTTAGAAAAACCAAGAGGACGAGGAGTCAAACCTTCAACCTCAACCTTCTTAAGAGAGGTAATATGTACGCTGGCTCGATCAACCATTGGTTGTATGAGTTTCAACTTTTTTTGACCTATCAGTTTGTGGCCGTTATTGGAAAAGTTGCTAATCATATTTTTCGTTGAAGGAATTTTGGTCTATCAGTCTGGTGAATTCATTTTATAAAATTTTGGTAAATATCTTGACTAATAGGCTGAAATTGGTGATTAACAATATCGAGTGATACTCAAAGCGCATTTATTAACGGTTGTCAAATTATGGATGGTTTTCTTCTTGTTAAAGACGTTATTCATAGCATGAGGAGCAGATTATAAGATGAGGTTGGGTTGGTTCTTTAGCTAAACTTTGAGAAGACGTACAATTATTTCCATTGTGGTTTTTTAATGTTTGTAATAGAGTTGATGGGTTTTGGGGATAAATGATGTCAATAGATTTCTAATGTATTTCTACAGTTAGAGTTGCAATTTAGGGTAATGGTTTTACCACAAAGGAATCTTTTCTAAAAGAGAACTTTGACAGGGAGATCCTTTATCCCCATTCTTGTTCATTATTACAGTCAAAGCACTAATTTTTTGCTAGTTAGAGCTGAAAATTTGAATATGTTTAAAGCGATAGCACTTATAGCTTCAAGCATGAGAATTTCACATTTGCAATTTGTGGATAACAGTGTGATTCTTATGGAAATAGGTCTTGAGGAAGCTTCTAATATCAAAAGCTTGTTAAGGTGTGTTGAATTAGTCTCGGAATTAAAAGTCAACTTTGAAAAATCTTGTTCGTATCTAGTGGGAATTAGTGATAGTATTGGGATGGAAGTGACAAATGTCTTAAAATGTAAAATGGGTTTTGTTCTTTTTATGTATATACCTTGGTATTCCACTTGGTGCTACTCTAATAAGCTTGCAAACATGGGAATCGGTGATATTTTGGAGACTTTTATCAAATCCAAATGGGAGGTGTTTCTTATTTACATTAAATATCTTTAGTTAATGGAAAGAAAAAAGGAAAGAAAAAAAAATGAGAACGTTTACTTAATTGGTATTAGATGTTAATAAGGTTGTAGGCTTTTATAGGCATTTTGTCTCAAAACGTGAATTCTGTCCCAATGTTATCAATACTTGTTCATAAGGTATCGATTCTTGTAACCCATAAAGGCTTTTTGAAGAACAAGGATCGATACTTCATTCAAGGGCATCGATACTTGAAACTTAAAAACAAAAGTATCGATGCATCACCCAAAAATATCGATACTTATTGTCATTTCCACCAAAATAAAAGTGTTAAATTGTATTTTATCGCCCTCTCTTTAAATATAATGCTTACCCTAAGGGTCAGCTTCCTTAGCCGCCTTTCAATCTTTTTCTCTCAACCATTCTTACCTTCTTTCATAATCAAACCTTGGTTTTGAAGATTGGAAGCTTGGAATTGATTTTCAAACATCAACATAATATTTTTCAAGTTTTAAATCTTTAAATGCTATATTTTCAATGCTGAAAAATATCCTTTATATTTCTAGACTTCCCTCAATCCTTCAAGCTCAAACGTTTTCTGATTTTTTTTTATCTAAGTCAACTCATTAATTTCCTTTTTGATTCATAATAAAAAAAAATCTCATAATGATCTTATCATTATGACTTAGTATTGATTATCATACATGCAAGGTTATACTTAAGGATAAATAATTTAGAATAATTCCAAAATAAAATGAGATGTAATGTAAATATATATATAAGCTAAGCATCTCATGCTAGCAAAATATATATCTATGTTTCCTAAACATAAAATAAAATATTTAGCCATGGGTCCAAAATCAAAAACATCTCATCTTGACAATCATGTCATGAAAACATTTTGCCTAACCATGCCTCTAATACTATGCAGTCATGTGTAACACATCCGAACAATATGGTACTAGTTGAGTAAGACCCATCAACAACTCAAACATACTCGTGTAAAAGTTTAGCCTTGAGTGACTCAACAAGCCTTCAATTAAAAGAGCAATCCGATTATCTTGTTATATGGTGGAAGGTAACTTTTTGACTCAATATATTAATGTGGGATTTTTATTTATTAATTCATTAATTAAGGTCTCAGTGATTTGGCATTGTTGACATGCATAGCATTTATCACATTTCACATATATCATATATATATACTGAAAAAAATCTATCTCATGCCAACTACTAGGATGATTATGGACTTTACTAATTCTAATTTTCTTGAGCCATTAAGGAAATTAGTTGGTCAAATTCCTAGGGGATTTACACAAACATCATCTTCAAGCTTTGCTTGTAATCTCCTTGAATCTCCATGGTGCCTTTGGGTCTCCATCTTCAAGTTACAAAAATTTTTCTAGCTAACCC